TCGTTTCCCCTTTGGATTCCACTCGAGAGCCTGACCTGGCACGTGATGTCTCCGAATGGTTTTCTCAGTGTATACCCAATCCATCTCTACTTTTTTCTGCATATTTGTTGGGCAATAGGTTGTTGGTTGGTTCATTCCCAGAGTTCCTTGTTGCTTATTCTTTCTGGCCATCTGATCTTCAGCATCGAGCGTAGGCAGCCGCTGATTACTTCTCACTAAATGCTAGATACTTAAAAATTTCGCATACGGTAACAATGAAATAAGTGAATATGCGATGATAACAAGAAAAATAATGCATTTCTGCATTGTAGCTAAAGCTGGTTCACAGCTTTATAACCATTACTCACTATTTTGACGTCTATTCAATGGATTCTTAGAATCTCAAGTGATTACTAAGTTTTAGCGGGAAAATATTCGTGAACCCCTAGCTTTCATAAAAATATCTTTAATCGCTTTGACAAACATTTTCTCTTTGATATTAATCTATAAGGTTAGTCATCGGTACATATTGCGATTAGGATGTGTACAGTTCTAAACTGTTGGTTGGTGAGATACCTCAGAATCAGTCCCAGTGACGAAGATGCATCCATACCTTATCACACAAGTCATATCACATTTCGTTGTTTTAAGCTCATAGGTGTAGACACTCGACTTCCAACCAGTGGGTTGTGAGTTCATACTCCATCTCACCTCCTGATGTGTGAGCAGTCAGGTAGTATCACTAGGCGGCACACAGTAGGTATGACTCATCATCTGGACGAATCCACACGGGGTTGCTAGACACATCTCTATTTTCATTCTCTCTTTATGACTTTCTACGAGTTTGGACTACATTCGTATTCTTTTGTCTCTATTTTTTTATCTTGTTGACTTCTACCTTGACGAGGTGGTATGCTGTGTGACAACTTATATCGTTATGTGGTAATGCCGGATTCAATGTTGATTTGACTGATGTCACTCATGTGTAATATGCTTGCACCATCGTGACCAATTTCCAGCCATGTCGCCAAGAGTTGTCAACCACCGATTCCTATCGTCTCAGGGGCCCCAGCCAGGTAGTTTACATCCCTCTATACACCTCAGAACAACAATCAAGGACTTCATAGGCTGATGCCACCTCTTAGCCTAACCATTCTGGGTCTTCTTCTAACCCAACCCAACTTCTCTTAGCATTGCACATCAAGGTAGGGGGCGGCTGGGGACGCTAAATACATCCAAGCCTTCTTTGTGTTGTACCCTGGACAGTGCTAACATGGTGACCCCACCATACGCGAGCAATGCTATGAGTACACGTGTGGTCAAAAGCCTGCAACCGCTTCATATTTTCTACCTTTAACGGTCCTGCCTTACAACGGGACAGATCGGACTGTAACACTGTACTTGTACTTTGACAGGTGGTCGAATATCTCGTCAGTCAGTGCTAGAGATGACGCAGGTTGGTAAGTGCTAAACAGGCCTTCTGTATTCGAACTAAGATTTCACCAGCGACCAGCCCGTTCGAGCTACTGCGACTTTCCACCTAAGTAAAGTGATCAACACACTCCACCAACTCACTTCCTGACATTAAACTGGGAGTAGTTCCAGACTAATCCTGGAGCATAGTCGTACATTTTTCTGAACTGATATCACTTTTTGGTGGAAGCTTGACTCGAAATAGCTAAACTCCGAAATTCACCACCTAAATACTTTAAGATCAGTCTGATCAATGACTCATGGATAGCCCTATCTGGATACAAGAACTCGGTCGATTGTCGGGTATTGTTTCATTGGTTTAACTAAGTTTAGGTACTCTTCCCTTCGAAGCACTTTCATTTAGTGATGCGTTCACAACGTTATCAAAAAGATTCCTATTCACCTCAACTATATGATGGAAGTGTTATCAAACAGTGAAAGCTAATGACCAAATGTATGAATACGAGGAGTTCATGGGTTCCGTGGTCCTGTAGCAATGAAGGGTATGATCCCTAGCGGTCTTAGGGACACAACTCCTGATGTTAAATCACTGCCTTGTGGATTGGATCTTAGATGAGGGTTCCAGATAGTGATGCTTTAGTGCAACTTACTTGCTCCGGTTCAGAGGCGTGATCATAAAAACTGAAATGGGCATTCTAAAGAACATTGTCAACTAATCAAGCCTTTTTAAAATTCTAATTCCATCTCCAGTTTTTCCTGTAATAATTACTATGTATACATTGTTTTGTTCTTAATATTTTATTGAATTGCAAAAAATTCTTTTTATGAATTTGGATAACATAATAAGAAGACGTAGATTATCTGAAAAATGTAGTGTATTTGCGCCATATATTTCGAGCAATTCGTTTACATATTTACTTGTCAAAACATTTTATATAAGAACTGGAAGTGAGCGAAGGACGGAAGGATCCAGCTTATCTACGCGAAAGGCTCAGTAGATGATGACAACATCAAAATACTAACTGAAACATTATTTACTGGATAATGGATATCCATTAAAGCTCATAAACCGTTGCAAAAGTCAGCCAGCATGGAAAACCAGTCTGCATTCTGTTTTAAAGAAATACATTTGTATCGCGCTACCATACAGAAGAGAATCTTAAAGCGTAATTCTGAAACGAAGGCTAAGGTCTGCCATTAACCAAACATACCATGCAGCTAGATTTGTCGTAGTCGAGAACACCTAGCCCATGCTGCAACATAGTATGAACGATTGCGTCACATCCCATTGTGTATGTGGACAAATATACGTAGAGAGGACTAACCAAGATAGGAGGCACTTGAGGGTCCGAAAACATGTACCAAAATGGCTACAAAAGCAACTAGATTCTCAAAGATCGATAAGCGCAGGTAGCAGACAACCATCGTGGTCTATTGCAAAACATATTACGGATAAAGGTTACAGAATTGATATTAAAACAGCCTTTATAATTTTGTATGGAAACTGTTGGGGGCGTATACTTAGGTGCTAGCCATACAAAAGTTTGGACCTCCGTTGTGTTCAAAAACAGTTTGTCCCTAAGCTAAACCTACCTTGGTAATCTTTATATTATCGCATTACTGAGGTTTTTCTTCAACTTATTCTTCCTTCATTACCTTATCATGAAATGCCTTAACAAGTAAGTATGTGACCAGATTGTTCAAAATGTATTTAATTTGTACTTTTATTTAGATTTTACTGAATTAGTTACCAATGTGAACTTCTACGATATTTGCATTTAACTCGCATAACGAAGTCCAAAGTATCATGTGCTATCAAACGCGGCCCACAACTGATACCGGCGACTGGTGATCACATGGCTCTTTTCAAGCCTTTTATCTTTTTAGAAGTAAAGGGAGTATTTTGAAGACGACTTTTGTAATTGCTTACCCTTCTTCAACTGTCCCGTTTATTCTTTGACATCTTCGTCCCCTATCTTGTACTGAGCTTTTTGTCAAAAAAAAATCAGTTAGAATCTATCGGACAAGCTCATCGACATCACCATGTATAAACTCCAAGCTTATGTGCAGTTTATCCTAGTCAAATGAAAACACCTGGCTCGTTTCTACTTTTCTTGATAAATCGTGCAAAACTGCATTATTTTTTCATCTGTTTCGCTTATACACCGTCAATGAGCAACTATTCTTACAAACTTTACTGCCCTACCATTCTGAAGATCCGTTTTCCCTCCATCATTGTTCACTACGTTTAGTGAATTCACTTAGTTCGATCAGCAGAGTGAAAATTCGTATTTAGACAAAGAAAAAACAGCAACTTAAGTGGGAGGGGGTGGAAACCCACCAAGAAAGGCGCCTGTTCATTAGATTTTTTAAACTTTATTTTCCACGCTTTTTGTGTATCTGAGTGACTTTTAGTAGAAAACACTGTGATGTCACTTGGCGTAGTAGTAGTGGTCAAATTTCAAAGCTGGTTAATTAACTTCTTGTGGCGCTTGACAGTTAGTGACTGGCAACTAACTCCTTGTGTAAACATTTTCTTGTCAGCGTATTTTGTGAGGTCGATTCTCTTAGCACTCAGTTCCCGACTGATAGCTGCTACCTTGGTGTGGTGGTTGGTCTTGCATATCACAATGACCCAACAAGCTATCCTGATGGAATGCTTGTTCCATCGAGGTCCTAACATGCCAGAAAGGTCTTTCAGATAGTAGTAAGACAAAACGCAGTTACCATTATAGTGTAAATCGCTATGCTATAACGGGGGTCTGAGGGCCAATTCGTACTTTGACTAGACGGGGGTGTGACAGCAGTAAGTTGTTTCTCTTGGATGATCAGCAGTGCCACGCTGATGCTACCTTCCCTTTGGGGTGTTAGAAAAGGTCGGGCTCCAGAAAGCATACCCCCACCCCTCGCGGTATGCCGATGCCTGCAACAGGGATTCATAGTCGGATTCAAAAGCGAAAACCAAAATCCCGAAGTTGCCAAAAGACTGTGTGGCCGGCCTCAAGCAGATGTCCTTTGGGCTCTGCCGTCACACACTAACCCTTCTTTTCCAGGCACCTCAAGAACAACTAGCCTTTCACGATTTAGGCAGCCGGAAACTGTCAACTGCTTCCAGTAGTACAGAAGACCCAATCATAACCCACCCTCCTCTGCCTTCCTCTTCTGATACTAAAATTAGGCTCCTTACACCTTCCCCAACCTCTCATTCTGCGACCCTTACCAATGATCAAAGCCATCACTCCTTCCCGTTTTATAGTACTTTGCGTAGTGTCTTTTTTAATACTATTCTTGTACTGGTTTTGTATTCAAAATAATTAATCATAAGTAGGTTTCCAATATCAATTTTATATTAGTCTATCGTAACGACATAGAGGTTCACTGTCTATTTGTGTGCATAAAATGCATCTGCTTCTAGTGTGTATTATTTTAGAAAAACATGTTTGGAAGTTGCGTCCTACCTCCTCTCGAATCTTAGATAATTTGTTTCGTTTAAAAATTATATTATCATACAAAAAAAGTCAGCTTATTATTATTCTCACCCAAATAATTTACCTATTACTTAAACATTCTTGTGTGTCTCTCTTCAGATTGTTTCCTCAAACCATTCACCTATCCCTTCAAATATTACTTATCCGAAGCCTAGTGATATTATGCATTGTTTTTCAACAGATCCTGGATGTGATCTTTTCAAAAAGGTAATTTTTTCTTCAACAAAAACAAGAATAAAGACCTGATTTTATCTCATGTTTAAATTTTCTATCGTTAAATTTACCTGTATATTACCCACGTTTATGATATTAAAACTTGGGGGTAGGTTGTTAAATTCGCTATGATAATGTGATGCAACTAGTTGGTTCCTTTTATTCATGTCGCAGACAGCAGAACATATTAAGTAATGCAGATATCAATAGCCTGTTTACCTGATTATAAAGAAATGGGACTTGTATCTCGACAAATATCCGATATATTCGATGGTGAATTCAATAACCTATCAGTTGTAACGCGATCCCAATGGTCGATACGGATACTAGTTTTTCAAAAACAAGGTATATTACTCTACGTTTTCTGAAAACAATTCGTATTTTTTTGGATTCAAGGGCACATTAGGATTCGATGCAAAACAAAAATATACAAAAAATCAATTCTAGTCTGGTCCTTAAGCCAACCACGAGCAAGCAAGAAGACAAAGCAGTAGAAAACTGAACGTGTTTACTGTTGCTCAAGAGTGAAGATGATGACTTTTCGTTTTCGAAACCATGATATTTTGTGGACATTTCATCACCTGGCCTGCTGACATCCTCTGTAATAACTTCATAAACAAATGGAGCATATCCGATCGGACAACATTCAAACTAACCAGAAACACTACCTAGTCATTCGTATAACATACTTTTTGAAGTTAGTGCTGATGTCACCATGTGTGTTGTTGAAACACACGCCATATATATATGGCACTCTGCAGAATAACCATTCAGGGTGGGAGTTTAGTATAAGTCTGACTACAAAATATTGAATTTTCTGGCATTTTCGTATGAAAGTTAGGCAGTTATGTTTCAGTAATTACTGCTTCCTTCATTGTATTTAGGTTTAATCACACCGAAGTAATGAGAGAAAAGTGGAATGTTGAATTTAGCAGTTATTCGATAGTTGGTCGCAATCGTCAACATGATTTTTGAACAATTTCCATGGTTTTTTTGTCTAAATCGTTGAATGAAACTAAGAATAGTAACACGAATTAAATACCACCTATATTTTTTCATGTATAGAGAAACTAATGTTACAAATCTGTGCCTGACTTATGGGCTTCTTGTGCAACAGTTGAGATATCATACTTGTTTCTGATGCCCTCTCAATAGAGAATATTGTTTTACTCACGACTAGTCTATTTTCATTTTCAGTACCTCAGTCCTGAAGATTTTCAGTTCTTAAAAATGTTAAGAACACCGGTGCCTGCACAGTCCTACTTGCCCCTAGGTCGACCAGAAATGAAGGTATCACATCTGGTTAGTATCTTGTTAATGGGACTTACTGGTAGACGAACTTCGAGTCCTGCATGTCCACCTTCTGATGAGAGAGGTCCGTATACCTATTGGATGGGATGTAAGCAGTTATTTTTAAAAAATTTTAACTTCTGCCTACTCAGTGATCTACCTAATGCTTAGTTTAAAAGCACTGTTAGTAAAAACGTCTAGAGAATTCTTAAGTTTTTCCTAATACCTCATGATACTTCAGAACTATTAAATTAGCCGAAGAACAATTTTGTTGCTTTATGTAACATGATAGACACTTGGTTTAGCCACTATTCTCCTGAATCTATCCTAGTTTTCAGAATTCATATCTAGAGTAAAGTTCGAAATCCTCATTATTATTCTCTTGTTATGAATTCATTGGATTGATGCGGTGTAGTGGCCCTTTGTATGAATACTGTCACAACGCATTTATAATGTTTGGGATGCGTTAGCTGTGAAGACGTTGGCATAATGCAGGGACTTTTGAGTATGTTTGGCATATGTCTCGCACCTGTAACATGTAAGATGATGCTCCAGGATGGGTGTGCAACTAAAGGGGGGGGGAGTGAATTAGTGGAATGCGTCGACCACTCGGGAAGTTGCATTCATGTTAATTTTCCAAAGTATTGAAGTCGAAGTGAAAGATAATTGAGGTTGAAATATGCGAGCGTATTGGAAGGACAAATAAACTGGTTTTTAGTTGCCGTTTTGAACACATTTCGGGAAATGTATCTGACATGGTCCACACCTTTTTGATAGGATATGCCAATGCGAATTTAGGATTAGTAGGGCTGGTACAACTCTAGCTTCAGGAGTTAACGCAGTTAACTAATGTAGCCAGAACTGACTACTGTACCTGAAGAGCTTCATAATTCTCCCACTTTAGTTCCTTGTTAAAATCCGTTTCCTAACTCATACACATTTTCTATGTTGGTTTTATTGTTTTGCTTCAATAATCACTCCTTAGAAATTCAGGGATAACCACCCCTGTATAGGTGACTGTATCTCTAGTCCAAACCTCAAATTGTACGTCAGGAGTTCGTTGCAGTTGACAATGTAACCAGATTAGTTGCCACTTATTTGAATTAAAAGTAGTTAAAAACAAGAAATTCATCTTTTCCGTACATATTTGTATCGCATTTCTCACCTAGTTTTTTTTTCAATTTATTCAAAACAGATTTCAATGGTTCTGAGCAGTGTTATTTTGCGCAGATGGACATAATGTCACGCTTTTTGTTAATGGAAGGAGAAAAGCTGAAAGCTCCAGCATGGATGCGCAGCCGCGAATATTCTGGCAGATTCATACGGTGGTACCGAGCAGCATCCCCAACAGTCGATGGACTTAGTATTGCGCTAGGTATTTTCCTTATGACGCTAACATTGCTTATGGCCTCCTATATTAGGAAGACTATGAATAAAGCGCTTATACACCCACCTATGCAAACTGAGGCTTTACAGGTATGGACAAGGGAAAATTACTCCATCTCCACATAAATTTTGTTTAACATACTTTTTAAATTTCTGTACATAAAACTTAAGTTTTCAAACAAACTTGACTTTTTTCGCAGCGTTTGATGCGTGTAAAACGCTTCGGTCTTGAGCTATTTTCTGAGCTTTTTCAACTAAACCGACCAATTGACCACTCTCGCCCAATACCTTGAGCAGCTCAACTATGAGCGGCAAGTAATTGTGTCGACGACGAATGTTTTCAGCACGATGAGCTGCAATTTTCTTCTTTTCGCTGGCGATATTGTTTTTTAACTCTGTCATGTATGTCGATGATAGCTGCAATGAAAATACAATAATTCAACATGTCAATATCACTTTCTAATCATTACAAGCAACTTTATGCTTTGTACGTTTTAAAAGTTAAATGACTATTATATTGTTCAGCGATAATAGAGTGTACTGCCACAGTAGCCCCAACACGTTGATATAAACCCTTGAACTGTGGTTTAAATGAGTTCCAATGCTATATCAACTGTGAAAAATTACTTCACTTCAAAGCACTTCTGTCAGCAAGAGAACTATTGAAAACAGGAGACAATATACAGTTTTTTTCCCCTTATTTTGGACTCAACCTGCCTTCACGATCTCATATGGGATCTGACTAAGTGCCGTCGTATCTAATAATTAACATACTGTGCTACTCATTTGCTGGGTTACAATGTAATAGACTACATTCTTCAACAATTGTTGTCTTTTGGTAGTTAGGGCGTTCAAAGCAAAACTGCATCAATGCCGACACGCTGTCTTTCAAAATGACGTTTAAAGACGTGATTTTAGGTTGGCGTTTTAGTGCAGTTAAAGAGTTACTTTTACTGTTTGGTATAGCCTACAGTTTCACTATTTATGTTTCATTAGAAGTTAGAAATATTATCGTCCCTGTCTTATGTAGCCTATACATTAGTTTGTGAGTTTTTATTCACTTCACGTGATGCGAACCTCAACGGCTTAAGTTGATGTACTATTTCATCAGCAGTTGACCACGGCTGTCCAAGCTTGCACGAGCAATGCTACAAAGACACCAATGTTGAAAAATTTGTAACTTGCTCATGTAGTCTACTGTTAATAGACATGTGATACAGTTATCAAATACGACAGGGCCAACTGCTGCGCAGTGTACTCGTTCTGTGATAGGTTGTCGGATATCTCGTCGACGTCAGAGACCATGTAGGCCGGTAAATTTCGCCACCTTTACACCTAACTTGTGCTAGGCGACAATCGAACTAAGGAAAACAAAATGACTCATCAACCATCCGGACGTTTCACTTCGGTGAAGGACAACATCTACTGTGTCAAGACTAGCAACAGTGGTTGGCTGTTTCGCTAAGTAAGGTGATGATAACATCTGAGAACGTATGTTTAATTTGCGATCAGCACGCCAATTTAACTAAGCTATTTTACTACTACGATTTAGATGAAAAAACTTCAACGCAACAGTGATTGCTACAACACGTGAAAAAGTATGAATTCGTTCTATTTGCCCTGTAAGAGACAACCAAGTTAGTTAGTATCAACATGGAACCTGGCATTATAATGGTCCAAACTACGACACCTTATATCAGGACATCAAGCAAGAATGTACGACCGAAAAACAGGGAAGGAAGTGCGCAAAATTAGTCGAGAGCTGTAAAAAAAGAATACGGGATAAAACAACAAAGTAATTCGTTATGACGATTAAACTAACGTTTGGATGCATCTGCGTTGCTGAGATCGATTCCGAATCAGGTCACTTAGTTCCCTGAAAGTCTACTTCTCATCACATGACCCAGACTAACAGTCAGTCTTTGTGACATGTGTTTTTCTAGGCTGACCGCTTTTAACCTTTCTGAGGCCTAGCTCTACTTCAGTTGAAATTGCGCGAAAGGATAGGTACTGATTATGCATACGCAACCTGTCCCAGGCATATGAGTTGGCTTGTGTTGAAAAGCTCATCAACTAACTTACCTCTTCTATCAAAGACTCTATGCCTAGCTTCTGCATCTCTGATGTGGCGCTCGCATGACACAACCACTGTTACGAAGGTGACAGCAGTCGAACATCTGAAAATAGCCTGTTACCTTTAATAGTCATATAGTAGAAAAGAGCGAACTGCAGCACAGTACACTTGACCATTAGTAGGTGATCGAATATTTTGTTGGTGCCCCAAATGGCATAATTTGTCGAAGGCCAATCGAGCCTTTTGTACCGGTACACAAATTTCGTCGGCCATTGACCGATCAGGATAGGTGCGACTTTCTAAGTAAATGAAGTGGTCAATGCATTCACCTCGCCCCCATTGTTAGATAAGGTTTTGGTACATTCTCGAAATAAAGGACTGCCCCTAGGTGTTGAGAAACGTCCTAAACATTCTCAAAATTCCGAGAACTGTTCATCTTGCCAGCGTTTTCAACCAAGAGGACTGTCATCCACGTGCCCTAGCTCGATTAGATTGTCTCCTACGACTGTCAACCTGCATTGCATCGGGTGAGAGAGAGGCTAAAAAATTAAGAGTGGACATCCTTGATGGACGAGACTCCGCGCACACGATCTGTCTGCTACCTCATCATACGCTCTAACACGCTGATATGCGTTCGCATACAGGGTCTTCAATAGGATGATGCATTTACCCGACACTCCATTTTGTGAGAAACACTGCTACAAGACTTTTTTATTGACGGAGTCGGATGTCGCATAGTGATCAAGAAATATAGCTAATGTCAGGTGCTGGTATGTTGACTGCGTCTTAAGACCCGGCTTGGGGTGAGGATCCAGTCTATTTTATCACGAACAGGTTTGAGACTTGTTCGGGTACCACAGGTTTGCTGTTTGATAGTCTTACCCAGACATCTAGTGATTATAGAACCTAGGATCTTGTTTATTATGTCCGTCAAACTAATTCTCTTGTGATTATTATAGGAGGATGTCTTTTTTCGAAGAGTGGGACAATTAGCAATTGAGACCTGTCGGAGGATACCAGGATGAGTAGTCGTGTCACATCCTAATGATTGCTTAGTTAGTCTTTCTTTGAAGATAGCTTAAGTATCTTCATCCTTGAGCTGTGGTCAAAACTGTCTTGTAGCTGCATTTTTTTATACGTTCATTTAGGCCCAGACATACGTGTCCAGGCACTAATGCGTGATCTCTGTCCAAACACATACTTCAGTAATAGCGAAAATCCCTGGGCGGCCGTCTTTCAGTGATAACTGATAGCAAGATCGTCAGTGTCCACCATTCGATTGTCATCGGTGGACTCCACATCAGACAATGTCTTTCTTTGTCTGAAGTTCGCACTGATCAGAACTATGTGGTTACTTAAGAGCAGTTGTAAGCAAGTATGTTTTACTTAAAAGAACGCATACAAGTGCTATGCATTGTAATGTCGCTGGAAAAAGAAAATGGAGTTACTATCCGATCAGTAGGGGTTTTGAAGAAAGAATCAAGAGGAAATGAAGATACATTCATTTTGAATGTAAAATGTAGAGATTATTTCCATGAGCTGCATTTAATTTGATGGTTTGTCATTTTATCAATATTCGGTGTAATTTCCCACTGGACAATCCTCTCTTGCACTTTCCTACGGTAACAGTTGATCGCCACTACTCGTTGGTTTGGTTGATTTTCTAAAAGTGCTTTGCTGTCTATCTTTGCCTACACACTTGTACACTGGAACCGTTCGCTACAAGAACCGCATCTGGACGTTTAGCTTTCGGCATGTTTGCGGTAAGACTCATTTTTTATTTCATGTGAACTAAAGTCAGTGTTTGCGTAGGCAAAGATAACCATGTCCCACTAATCTTTTTAGTTTGAACTCCATCATTCAGTAAAAGTGTACGGGGCGACTATCAGCTGGGACCCAGTTGAGCAATGTTTTCTTCTCTAGGACCTAATGCTATGCCTACACCTGCAAGACCATGAGAAATAAATAACCACTGAATGTAGAGAAACTCAAAAAGTGGATTTCACAGGTTCTCTAAACTGGTAAGTGAATTACCACACTTAGGTCCTGCATATTTGTCTCATGAACACAATGAATGTGCCTGATCGATGCTGGAGCTTCAGATAGCTTAGCTTGCTATCCGATTCCGCAGAGAGTGCAGAATGCTGTTTAGTTTTGCTCTTGTACCTAAATCTCTACGCCTGACTTTCCGTTATTTACGTGGTGGCACCTCAACACGCCCTGTGGTACGAGGGTAACGAATATTGAACGTTTGAAGCCTTTTTATATCCTCCACTTTTAATACCCATATCGTGTAGTCATAAAGTAGAACAGAATGGATTTCTACGCATTACAATGGATCATCACCAGGGAATCTCGGTTCCAGCGATGACGGAATTCGGCAAAACCCGGGCTTAATTTCAGTCGATCATACCACAAGTAAATTATTGAACCTTCATCGACTGAAATGGTTGGGATATGTGTTGCGTATGCCTAGTCACCGTCTGCTTCGTCATACAATGTAGGCAGAAATAGATTTAGGCTGGAGGTGGCCAGACTAAAACATGGCACCAATGTATGAAGTCTTTGACTCTTAGTCTGAGCAATATGGGGTGATGCAGACTAGTCGGTTGGGGTCCGTGGGACAAGAGAACCCAGTGGTTAGAGACTAGGCGATATGGCTCAGAACCGATGTCAGTGGCGCAGATGTATACACACTTTATCCTCATCTTAACACTACCGAATCTCACCATTTTCTCATTCTCCCTTTTAGTGCTCTATATTTCTTCTGACTGAATTTTTTTTAATCTTCCACTTCAGTGCCTTTTACTTGATGTACTGATATGAGCTGTAGTTACGTTACGTACTGCGTTACGCAGTAATGCCTGGTCCTATGTTGATTTGGATAGAAGAAGGATTGCAGAGACGGGAGAAACTAAAGATTTTATAGGCATATTGATAGAGAGGTCTGAAGGAAGATCTAAAGATGATTTGGGGGAGTCAGTAATTATCAGATGGGGATATAAGGGCTGCTAAGTCTCCAGGTTCCCGTTCCGCGGAAGGTTACTTCTTTCTGAAAGAAACTGGATTAGGTTTGTGACAGTACAGAAAACATCTCAAGACCAGTCAAATACGGCATTTCTACAGGAGCTCAAGGTTTAACTTCGTTACATGTTGCACATACGTGATTAGACAAGGCTCTTTTGACAAAAGTCATCCGAACCTCAATAGGACTAATTACGAAATGAGTACTTACTATCTATTTAATACGTTGAGATGGGATTGTTTTAGGGCTGATATACAACAAGCAAAACCAAAGTACCAGTAGGCTTACATCATTTGAGTCCACCTTCATTCGTGCCAACTGATGTTCATACATTGCTAGGCGATTAGGAACGACTGCCATTATATTGAATTTTCCATCAACACATTTTTCCATGCGCTTCATCAACAGTGGACGAAGTGAATCAATCCAGGATGAGTTTTCCGGCACTTTTCCATGATCGATAGGCCCAGGTTTCAGGCCGTCCAATTCATATAAAGTACCATTGATGGGAAGGTAGCCAACAAAGTGATAGACATCTTTACCAGACTTAGGAGCTTTCTCATCAAATTCAAACAACTGGTAACTAATTGTGTAGTTGAATTTATAAAACAACCTACCTGCTAAAACTGTTGTGTACTAGTCTTATTTGATCAGAGTTGCTCATAGCTGCACCTTTCATCTGAAACAAGCTTTAAAAGTATGCAGTATCATACTGTACTATCAAAGTCCGAAACGAAAGCCTTAAATTGTGACAGTGTTGAGCCTATGGGTACTTTATCATCGATATTTAACAAAATGTTGATTATGGCCTGGGTTGCGCATGCATTAGAAATCGTCTAGGTGCGCACGCGTGAAACATTATAACTCATATATAGGTAGCATGTTACTTGTTTGGCAAAAAATATCCCTTTATTGCTTTCGTCAAGTATCACTTTTCCGACTTCATCTTGCTTATCATCATAGTTGAAAAGAAAAATGAACCCGTAGGCATCGGAGACATTGCTTGTTTCGCACAGATCATACACTTCTTCGCATTCCAAACTCTCAACGCCTGAATATATGTTTTTTGATATTTATAAAGCTTACCGAAACCTTTGATTAATTCAGTAAACACACCGGGATCACTTTCAATTAAACACCAGTTGCCAGTACTGGACATAATTAGACTTGGCCTTCAAAACAAATTTCCCGGGCAATAGAGTAAACAGAGAACCAACATATTCTGTGCAGAGTGCCATATGTTCTTAGCTTGGCCTTATCGTATGATGTTAGTGATATCCAGATATGTATATGGTCTTTACACCCAACATCAATAGTGCGAGTAGAGGGAACTTGTAATTTTTGAGCTCTCGCTTCTAGGTAGCCGAAAAGAATTTTTGAAAGAAATTTGCACAGAATCTTTACACTAGCCTGAGTAAATAATTTTTCTCCAGCTTGTACACAATATTTGATTCCTTCACGTTCACCTCTAAGTTTTTTGGAACCACTTAAGTCTGGTAGATTCCGATACAGTATTAGCAGCCATGCTCTAATATCCAATATCTTTTTACTAGCTAGTGTACAAAAATTGATTTCTTCGCTCTCGCTTCTAGATCTTGCCGAACGGCTTCAGGCCTTTGGTGGATTCCAATGTAGTAGGTCTACCCACTCGACTGCTGTAGCTCTGGTTAGCCCGACGGGTGGTTGGGTGTTGTTTAGATTTGTAGGGAGTGTTGTTTGCTTGCTTTTTCTTCCGAGGACTGTGGTGCAGGTGGGTTCCTCAAATGTCGTGCCAGCAGACAATTGGTCGGACTGGTTGTAAAAAGGAGATGAAAAATATGTGCAGAGAAATCAAGGGAGAGAGAGAGTGCAGAGAAAGACAAAGTAGAAAAAAAAAGGTTAGGAAAAAGGAACCGGTATGGAAGAATAAGTATTGGTAGGTCTATGGGAAGTAAGTGATAGCTAGAGCTTTTGATAAAGTTTGAGAGCGTAAAATCAGAAGGAAGAATGATAAATAACATGATAGGACGAATGGGAAAATAGTAATTCTTTTAGTAGGAGACGGTAACTGGAGGGGACGCCTAAAGGAAGGCATAAGGTTGAACCAAGTTCCCAGTGATAGTGGTTTTTACAAGGTGCTCAGTACCGATTGGTCGTGTCATCACTAGTCATGATTTGAGAACCTCGGCAAGCTGTCTTAGGATTTGTCCTGGCGCGAACTTGACAGACGCAAAGACCAACCACTAATTATTCGAACTTGTTACATACCCACGAATACCAGACCAAGGAAGAACACGATAGTGTAGTCGGATGGAATAGTATATTTGGATGGTTGAGCTTAGATACCGATGCGTCCCAACTAACTGGCTAGACAGTCGAATATGAGCAGTGCAACGTAACACGACAGTGTGCCAGTTGGCGAGGGTGTTTGACCGGGTGCCTTCAGCTTAGTGAATCCAGTTAAACCATCAAGGTCAGCACCAATGTCGAATGTCGTCGAACCCTGGGCTATTAATTTTGGGGAAGCATGTGACACTACAGTGCAGCTGTAGCAAAGGGCTTCGTATATTGTGGTCCTTCCGTAGAGCCTTCAAACGCTTTGGTGAGGACATGTTTAGAATACTCCACTCCACTTACGTTGGACCTCACCTGGAATACTGCTTTCAGGAGGCCAGCCTAGGCCTAAAAAAGGATGCTGACGCACTCGGGCGTGTTCAGAGGGTAGGTACTAAGCTTGTGGCAGGCCTTTCGAATCCGCCCTATGAGGAACGACCAGATCAGCTAAACTTATCCTCACTGTAGAGGGCGGGGTGATCTCATACTGGCATTTCATATTCTTAACAATGACTTCGGTGCTGATATGCCCTATCTTTCCCCCCTCGCTAGGACTGACCATCTCCGAGGGCATCACAAGAAAATTCTAAAACTGCAATCGAATCAACTTGGCTTGAATCTGCGTTTCTCCCATCGTGTTGTAAACGAATGGAACTCCTTACCTCAGCAAGTAGTATCAGCACCTTCTGTCAACGCCTTCAAGGAGAAACTAGACCTCCACAGAGATATCTTCTGCAGGGATTAACACAGGCCGACTGGCCTACTATCCTAATAACTGAAAACTGAAGACTGTACCGAGTTAGTGAGTCATATCAGCCTAGCCCACATCCCAGTTGGATGAGCGCAAACCGTGCGTCGCTGTGTGAATGTTTAACCTCTCCTTGAAGCTTTCAGTAGACGGAGCAGTAGCAATCTCGGCAGGCAATGCGCTTCGGTGGCCGCAAACTCGCAGAGAGAAGTGTGATCGCACACGGGTTTCCGCTCTCTGGAGGGCGATTCTCCCTGGGTTACCACGAGGATCACTGATCTATATCTATCCTTTCTGGCGGCAGCACCATGGAGGTCCAAGCTCGCCTTCAAAGTATTAACTGGTACGCTTCAATAGGGAGTTCCAGTGATTCGCGAACCTGTGCAAGAAACGCATTATTAAATGCAAAAGACCAAATTGTCTTTCGAGGACTTCTGGATTATTCCCCCCGAGATGAGCAGTTTTAGAGCGGAGGGATGCGTAAGTTAGAAAGAAACTCACTATTGGACATGCGATATACTAAGATGAGATCTATTTTGTGCTACTGCAATACAGAGGAAAAAGACCAAACTGATCTGTTCGTTTCTGGTAAGAGAGGTTGGGAAGACCTTTGACCAACTTGATGCCTATTCAGGGATGATATCTGATAGGACTGCTTTCAAATCACGTTGACCCCACCAGCTTAGGGACGGGTCTTTCGCAAACTCGGCAGACACAATGGCAAACCATCTATTACTCGTACTTGTTGTATATCCAAGAGCGCTGGGCCAAGGATGAGGGCAAGTGGGAGCTCTCTAGGAAGGGTTAAGATCATAGACCGGAGACAGCTCTGTAGAACTGATACAGCTTGGAGATGTGAGAAATAAGATATAGTCCAACATGTGTCGTCCAGAGGCCCTAGCTTTACTCCAAGGTCACACCTCGGTTAACAGATAAGAGGAAATCTACTAAACAGGAGCACGCGGCATAAAACACCTATGTTGGGGGAGCCGGACTAGAAATCACCGAAGCTTCCAGCACCGCCTCCTACACACCGTCAACGAAGAAGCAGGCTGAACAGTTTCCTGCGTTATCTAGTTCAGAGGCACAGTTGCACTGCATACTTCTTCTGATAAGGGTTTGAAAAATTATAAAAGCTTCATGCTTGAAAACCTTCTAGGGATGTAATTTGGCTGTCCATGGTGAAGCATCACGCAGCCGCCTGACATGATACACCAAAGGGTGGATTCCGGCACATTTTGCCATTCTGGGCCCAACATGGCTTCGGTAAGGGCATGTTCTGAACCTCCAACATACTGGCATCGCGTGCAAGACATACCTTCTGCGTTGGTTGATTAGAATACCTGCAGCATATCATGTTACAGTGTTGTGTTGATGTATTTAACAACTCATAATTGAACATTTCTTTTGGTCGTAATGATTTTAAAAAAGGTTTGCCTGCTCGCTGACCAGTACACCATCCTGGTATTTACTTCCTGTTAACTCCTGATATTTGCACTATCTGATGCAGGTGGATCAGCAGTGTCAGGAATAATAAACAGGTGATAGTGTATCTGGATGGGCTTATAAATTTGGAGTCAAGTATCAGAACTCCCCAAACTTGTGAGCCCGACATGATTAAACTCTCGCAAGTTTTACTGGTGGATATTGTTGTTGTTTTCAACTGAATACTGCAACCAGAGTCACCTAATAACTGTACACAATAAGGATATGTATACTGAGAATATCTCCAGCTGTTTTGTGGTAGTCATTAACATACTTGTTCATTATTTTTCCTATTCTTGTTATTTTAAGTTCTTAGCATTGTATTTTTGCTGTACCAGCACTGATATCTGTAAACTCTCGTAATCAAGACTTTCGAATGTACGGTCGGTGGGTGACATTAATCTTCCTATGCCTTCTTTCAAGTTTAATGATCCGCAGTTGTGGTTTGTCCGTCTAGAACATTTCTTCATGGCCAACCATATAACTTCACAAAACACAAAGTTCGAATACATGAGTTCTATTTTACCGGAAGAAGTAGCTGAACGAGTAAGAGAGACGCTACTGAAGCCCAACCCAGACAGGTCTTTTGATGTTTTGAAGCAAGAAGTGATGAAACCTACTTCTTTATCTGACCAGAGAGCTGTAGATCAGTTACTAAGTAGTGTATGCCTTGGTGACAGAACACCACAACTTGAGCGACATATGCAGTTTTGCAGAAAGAAAAGTAGACAACCATCTATTCTACCACCCTTGGCTACAGAGGCCTCCTTCATGTATTCAGCAGATATTGGCTGTCGGAGATGCGGACAGTGACATTGATAGGTTGGCTAACATTGTTGGCCATATGCACGAAAGAACTCCTAGACAGGTTGGAAGTATTGCCAAGGCGAAATGACCGAGTGGCTACTTTAGAGGGGAAGGTCGGCGTATGTACAGGACAACTGTCGGTTTTGCAGTTACACTGACGGTCACCAGAGTTCCATCGAAGCGGGCCTTGCAGTCGTGATGAAACCACGAGTAGAACGGCTTCGAAAAGTAGCACGCGCTGGTATCACAAGAAGTTTAGCAATAAAGCACGACGTTGCTTGCTACCATGCAATTTTGAAACCTTTTTGTTGGGAAAGGGAAAGGCCGGCGATCAGTGACGACTGCTGTCACAGGCGTACAACAACACAGCCATTTTTCCGTGTGACGGATAGGAAGACTAGAGCACAGTTTCTGGCTGACACTGGAGCAGAAGTGGGCGTGGTCCCACCCGCACTTTCCGGAAAACACCATCCCAACCCCACTTTGGTACTAAAACCGGCGGACAGATCCGGTATTACCGAATATGGAATCAGCATTTTGATCCTAGACATTGGTTTTCCCGCACCATTCCAATGGGAATTTGTCACTTCCAATATATCGTCGCCCATCATCGGGATGGATTTCCTGCAACACTACGAACTATTGGTCGACTCTAGTCGCCACAGACTAGATGTCCGTGGGATATCTTGTGGTACCTTATTTCGGGCTTTATTGCTTGGACGAGACCCGAACGAACCTTACAGGGTTTAGAAAAGGGCAATGAAATGTCATCAAATCGGTTGACAGAGATCTAGTTCCAAAACTGCGGACAACGTAACATTGTGCTGACCTATCTAAGCAGCGA